TGGCTTTATGTCCAAGACCCTAGAAAACCTCTTTCCCTATAGACTTCATTGCCCTTCCAGATGCTCTACACTGCCAGGAGAACTTAAAGTCTTTTTGAAGCACATCTTGCTGATGATCTCATGAGTAACTTTAAAGACTAAGAAAGCACTGAGATCAAAACTGTGGTTCAAGTTCCATAACACTACTAGGATACAAGCCTTACAGGTATTTGCATACAGAAATTATATGTTTACATTTCTTTTACCAATGACACGCTGGTTTGGAAGAATCTTGGTGTGAAAGCTATAGCAAAAAGTCTCTAAGCTTCACTTTAGGAGATGTCCAGCCTTCTGTTGCCATTTGCTGTTGATGAAAGCCATCATCATGGCAACATTTTTTACACAGAAGTATGTGCACAAAACCTACAGAGTGCACAGAGAGCAAATCTGAGGTGTCACAACCATGAGGTGTGTCCTCCACATACCTGATTCTACTTGCCCACTGCAAACCTGACACGTCCAGGAGAAGTTACACTCCTACACACAACCATGCAGCAGAGGGCACATTCCCACCAAAGCCAACTGAGAGATGGGTACCCTGAAATCCCATGCACAACCACAGAAAATCCCAGTGTACAACAGCTGTGTCAGAGGAGTCTGATCTGCTGGAGTTCTCAAACATTCAGAAATTGCCAAAACTTCTCTATTCAACATCTTACTGCCAAAAAGAGAACACATCCAGAAAACTAGAAACATGCACACACACATATGTATATCCTAGCTGTGTTGCATCAAAAGGTAAAATAAGGATGGAAAAATGAACTCATTACTGTGACCTGGATGTACTTCTGTATCCCTAACATACTGGGTCAGTCAAACACTGTCTTCTGTCTTTGATAGTTTTTTTCCTGTTGGAGGAACAATAAAGGAATTCTTCCTGCATACCACATTTTAAATTCTTATACACAGCAGCCAGCTGGTGTTTCCAGACTTTTTTCACAGCTTGTTTGCATTGCAAATATGATTTCTTTAGAGGATACCTTCCCAGTGACACCATAGCAGCTCTGAGAACAAAGTGGGGAAGGAGCAGGTGCTATTTGATCACCTGGGCCAGCACAAGAGGGAGGAAAATTGGAGGGTAAGGACTCAGAATGGCAAAGTACTGAAATATGCAGGGGGAAGAACATACAGAAAAGTCAGTTTCTAGAAAGAGGCTGCAAATTGAGGTTGATTCATTTTTTTGCATAATTTTAGTTGATGCATCTGTAGAATACCCTGAAAAAATACACAGATCTGCTTTCACTAAGGCTTCGTTATATTGCTGATAGAGGATCATAACTTAATGTGGTCCAAACTGTCTAAACTCTTTCCTATTTCATAACAGAATTACATTCTTTAGATGCATTTTGGGTCATATCATATACTTGCAATAGTATTTCTGGTAAAAACATCCATGACAAAAAACTACTTTGAAACTTGTGGCTTTTTTACTCTATACATTTTATTTTTCCTGGCTTTTGCTCCCTAAACTCTTGAATGTGCTGTGCATACAGACTTCAAAATATTTATTCTGTTCTCTGGCCTGGGGCTGGCAACTGCATTATGCTACTGGGGGTCCTGAAAGAATAGAATGTAATATAATGACATGGGAGAAAAGGCTTAGAAAAGTGGAGGTGCTAAGGAGATAGGCCAGTGCCCTGATGCACATTGTTCAAATCAAAATGCCAAAGACAGAGGTGACTTGTTGTGGGTTTTTTGGTCATTTGTTGTTTTGTATGTTTTCACTTTTAAGTTTTAGAAAGTACAACTGGCTGATGGAGAAGATGGGACAACAGAGATGTTCCAGTCCAGAGCACCGCTCTCTTGATTTCGCTATTTTTAGCCTCAAAACTCATCTCCCTATATCTTATTGTGTCCTGCACACCTGGTCACCACCCTAGAAAATTCTGAATAGCACAGGAAACCCATCCATCTGCGCAGCAAGCAGAAGGGCTCATATACACTATTCTGTTCTCTCCAAAGTAACACTTTAATCTATCCTTTATTATAACATTAATTGACTAGGAGAAAAAAAAAATCACATGTGTAAAAAACTGACAAAGGCTTTTATTCTTTGGGGAAATTTTAGCAGCCTGTAAGAGAAAGAACAGCAAGATCCCTTCACACAGACACAAACACACACCTTTTTGCTCCTGGGGAGGAACAATTTGAATTGCTGCTTTCATGCTTTGAAAACCTAATTGCCAAAGAGACTTTTGGAAGCAAATGTGCGAATGTCTCCCTGCAAGAAAGGACACAATATAAACCATAGGAATAAAAATGAGAAGAAATGAAAGAGTAGACAGTAAGAATAGGCACCACCACAGAGGAGTACAGGTGCTGCTCCCACCCGTCAAGTGCATTTGGGGGCTGCCAGCATTCTCCACCTGGAGTTCAACTGCCCCATTTCTAGAGAGGCACACCGTAAGGTCTCAGCTAGAGGGCTGTAGCCACACAAGGGTGTGAAAAAAGGGCAGTGTAAGCCAACTTAGCTTCTGAGGGGAAGGGGGTTTGATGGCAGGGACACATCTCCAGTTTGCCTTCCCAGGCTTTACAGCCAGTACCTGTCTTGGACTCTTGATCCCATTAGCAAAAACTTCTGGGCATCTGCTGCTTCCCTTACAGTCATTGTGGTAACTGCCCTTTCCAAAGACCCTTGCCACTCACCTCTAGAAAGACATCTTTATATTTAAAAGGCCATGTATTTTGGAAAGACAGGACAATGGAAAGATGACAGCAAGCAAGAGTTAGAAACACATAAGATCTCTTCTATATCCTGGCTGTTGCCTTGCCACAAAGCCACCATACCACTTACCTTTGAGACATGGATAACAACAAAAGCTCCTGTAGGACTCTTCTCTGGCTCAGGAGTTCTTGGACCACTTATTGGTTATTTAAAAGATAGACAGAATTTTCTTCCTAAGAAACAGAGTATGACACAGTCCATCAAGGACTTTGTTGGAAAATTGGACAGTTATCGCAGTTAAGCTTGCATACTTATCTATGGAGCCGATAGAAAAAAAAAACCAAACAGCAAAAACACCACCTTAATATCCACCATGCTTTTCCACCACAATAGACTTAGTTAGTACCTTGGATTTAAACATGGAAATTGTAAACTTAATCATGTGTCAATGAACAGCTCACATAGAGAGAGCTTCATTTATTGAAAATTTCATAGCTAATTTGCCGCTTAAACAGTATGCAGCTTTGGTTTTCATTTGATTACACTTGCAAGAGAAAAAAGGAAATACGTTATCTTGATGTAATGGAAAAGTAACATCTGGTAACAGTAGTATATATATCTTTTTTTCTCCATTTTCATAAGGTTTGAATACTCTTTTCAGCTCTGTCTCTTTATATTTAATACTAAAACTATGCCAAGTCTGTGACTGCATCTCAAATGTAAACAGTGCACTCGTATATTCTACACCAGTTTATAGAGTGGGTGCCTGTATGATGGAAATATGTTTTCAGAATCAAACACAGTCTCTTTATCAAAGTGTGCAAAGACATCAAGAGTTTTATAAACAGCAGCATAAAAAACAGATTAAAACATTCATTTTTGGTCTCACTGTATTTGTGATTCAAGCACATTAGCTGTTATTTTTCCCCTTCTATGTTTTTGAAAGAATGACCTGTTCATAACAGGTTCAGGCAAGCTGGTTTGGGGAAGGGAGTATGAGCTTTTATTTCACTAAATAACAAGCACTAGAATTCCCCTGCCAAGAATCTGCAGAAGTACAAGCACTGAATTTACTTATGCTGGAGTGGACAACAAAACTCAGAAAACAGAATAAAACCCAGCTGTTTCCTTAAGCAGTAATAACCATCTAACCAGGGTGGTACCACCACTGGTGTTTTCACAGGCCTCTAGGTTATACCTAAAGTCACACACTGGAGATGACATCTGTTCACCAGCACAGGGAAAGAGATTCATGTTGGCTTCCAAGGTAGAAGAGGCCATGCTGTTACTTGTATCACCACCAAATGCCCTTTTACCCTCTCACCGCTGCTCTTCACAAGCCACATCCCAGTTTTATCTGTTCAATAATGATTTATTCTACAATCCGCTTGCCACATTACAGCAACAGCAGCAGGGATCTGTGAAGCGAGAACACACTGCTCACGTCTCCCATTCAATTGTTTGATGCCCATTAAGGAATAAAGCAAGACACATATGGAGACTTGCATGTGAAAAAGACAAGTATTCTTTATCTAAATAATTCAAAACAGTACACACAACCAACATTTGCTAGGGAAGCAAGCTCATCTTGCAGCACATTTGCACCACACGTTGGATTTTTCTCTGTAGAAATATAACAAGATAATTATTGGTGCAAAAAGGATAAGGCTTTGGCAGTTTGCAGAATCCTTTCCTCCAGCAGCTGTGCAGTATTACCATTATCAAAGGCAGGACTTGAAGACTTATCAGCATTGCTATCTAAGGATCTCTCAGGCCATGTGATCCTCAGGTAGACACAACAAATTCTCATCTGTAAATGTCAGCCCTCGCACTAGGCAAGCTTTGGTTTCCCATTAACACACAGATGGAGGATCAGATCAGAGATCTAATGTCAGAGTCACTGACAACAGGAAATTATATAAGTTCAGATGGAAGCCAAAATAATATCAAAACTTTTTTATTAGATCTCAAGCTTTATGCAACACAAACATGACATAATTTTAAGGTCAAGGAAATATATGGAGGTTTTGAAGTTCTGATTTAAAATCCCCAACAATGACCGAGGGTGACAGCTAACATAAATTGTGACTAGCCTCACTGCATCCAGAGAGAACTGCTGGGATACTTAAGGACAGTTGCTGAATAAATCCAGCCAAGAGTCTCAGAGGGATTTTAGAGTCCCTGCAGCATGAGTATGCTGTCAGAAGTGGCAGAAGCTGAGAGTTTCACTACTCCCACCCATGATGGCCTCAGCTGCAGGCAAAGACAGCATCTATCTATCTCTTACTGAGACACAGGACCTGGCATTCCTGCTACTCAGACATTACACTGGGGCTGCAACAGGCTGGGGCTGGCCACAGTTCAGCATTAGCTTAGCAAGGAAACAAGGACGTCTTTCTACAGCTGTGTAGGAGATCTCTCTGTTACAGCACAGTGTCATGACAGCACATTGTTCTGAGTCCCTTTTCCGTATTTAAGCAGGCAGACCGTGGAACTTTATCAGACACTTGGTAAGTTCAGCTTTCATCTCTGCTACCTGTGCATATGGCATCCAATAAATATCCTCTTGTCTGAGAACAGCTGGCCATCTGTCTAAAGGTTTCGAACTTGAATTTCAAGTGTGTCTGCAATCTTCCTCTTCCCAGAGGTCCTATGGTAGCTCCTTCCACTCTCTAGTTTCTAGAGTCACTCAAGCAGGAAAGTGGGGAGGTTGCAGTTACAGCTTCCAAATTCACTTCCAGAAGCAAAGACTGCGGAGCCTAGAATGCACTTCTTTTCAGCATTAGAGGGGCTCAGACAGAACAGGAGACAGGGTTTGTAGCAAGAGCTGCAGCCACAGAATTATACAATACACTAGCCCTGGTCACACGCATACTTAGTTACTCAGGCCTATGTGAAAACTTGCATGAATACATACTTGCATATACAATGTCAATACAGCAAGTGTCAGTTAATACACAAGTGCATGCACATAAACAGTGGCAAACAGAGCTGGGAATCAAAAAATCTGACCATGACATGCTAGGGAAAGAAAAAAACCAACAAAAAATAAAGCCCAAGATCTTGGCCTTGCTTATCATGTTTCCTTGGATTTGTATGTGGAATACAAGCAATACAGAATTCGCATTGTAGTCTTCATATCCCCGTTCACGATATCTGTGGATACACAAACCAGAAACAACAAAACCAGATGGGAAGCATTAGCAATCCCTGGAATAGAAACAGACTGCAATTGCCAAAGACAATCTTCCACCTTTCCTCAGTTATAAAGTAAACTTAGACAACCTAATTGTAACAAGAAGCAAATCAAGAACTACAGAGCTAGAAAAATTATTTATTCATTAAATGAACTTAAGGACAAGTTCATTTCGCTGCATTGTTTTGCTGGAAGACAGGATAAATAATGCATAGTAAGAAATAATTCTTCACTAGCAAAGAACAGATTGGATTATTTAGGGCTTTACAATTTTATTTTTGAAAGATTCCTGTATGGCAAGAATCATATTGGGAATTAGTTGATACTTTATTTTTTGGTTGTAACGTTTCCATTATGTTTCACTGCCATTGGCTGTGTTCTTTTTACATTTGGTTTTCAGCTTCCACGCTCTCGGCTAAATCAACTGCTCTTGTATTTAGTAATTGCAATGGAAGAAGGTAACTGATTTAGAGCTTTTACTGTTCTTACAGTGCTGTAAATCACCAGGAGAAAGACTAATAATGAAACACTAGTAAAGTCTAAATAGTGTAGCTGTAATAAGTACCCCTAAATCATCCTAAATTCAATCACTAGCTGAGGATTTTCCCAGTGAAGCTAAGGAATCTGCAGGTGCTCGCACCAGTATTTCTTTTACCGATCAACTCTGTGTTTGAGGCAATGAAGAATAGCCAGAGGGAAGGAAAGGAAGCATACGTTTATCTCTCTTCATACAAAAGGCGGATCTCAGCATGGAGATCTGAGCTCATGCAGATTACTCTTTTCAAAGTTAACGTAAATAGCTTCCCAAACTCCTAGCTCCATGCAATACAGCAAAAAGCCTACAATTCATGTATGCCCATCATACAAATTGCCGACATCACCAAAGCATTAGTGGAAAAAGAAAACAAAAGAAAAACCAAAAATTCTGCCTTCCCATGATGCCATGTACTAAACACATGCACCCACTTGCTCATAAATAAGTAACAGGGAAAGAGACAATGTTTTCTATTTTTAGTAAAGATTTCATTTCTTTATTCAACAACAAGCTTTTGAGCTTGATAAAGGAACGATGGGGTGAGGTCACGTGCCCTGCAAGGCACAGTGCCATCCGTTAACATAACCACGTCTCTTATCCCACCAGGAGCAGCTAAGCAGTCACAGCACCATCCATTAACATAACCACGTCTCTCGTCCCACCAGGAGCTGGTCAAAAATTCGTCTTTGGACCATTTTTTCAATTGGAAAATTAGACTCATCCAAAAGAAGCATGCATGCACATTGAATTAGTGATGAAAGCATTCACTTGGATGCAGGAGATCAAGATTTAGCTCCCAGGTCTGAACTAGGCAGAACAGCAACTTAAAACCTATGAATTTCACAGCCAGGAGACTGACCCATGAGCTCTTCTGGGTTTGAAAAGAGTGATCAGTGTTTCTGATTTTCAGGACATATTCTGCAAGGTATCTTCCCATATGAAATGAGCTTGGTTTTAGTGCACTGTCTTATGAGATAGAAAAATAATGTTCTGTCCAGCTCAGTTGCTGTAATTTCCACAGGAGCTGTCAGTGTTTGAAATCTTCACCAAATACTGACCTACTAAATAGCTGTAGTGCAAAATTACTAAACCTATAACAGTCAACATTTTTAGTATAGAAATATTGTTGAAAACAATTCTCAGATTTATTACAATTCATTCTGAATAAGGAACCATGGCTAATGTGTCAGTGTCACGCTGCAGAATCTGCTTTCTTCAATTGCCCTAACTTTTGCCTGGATATTAGCAATTCTATTCCAGACAAGTTTGCATGTCATGACTCACCTTCAGAGTTCACTGAAAAATTCAGAAGGCCTCCATCTGCCAGCAGGTCCAATGCAAGGTTAACGTTGTGAAGCTGTTGGTGGGAGAAAGAGAGAAAGATCAATATAACAGAAAATATTTTCCACCCAGCAGTGCAGTGGCCAGGAGGTTTTAAGAAGTATTTTTTTTTAGTAGCTGAAGATACCGATTCATAAATATGTACTCATATCCGTCTCCTTTGTCTTGATGGAGTGCTCTTCGTAATACCTAGCAATTATCATATAAAATTGGAAGTGAAATCTGTCTCCTACAAAATGTATCCCATGAGATGGGCAGAAGAATCCATTTATTTAAAAATAGACCTTGCATGTGAAAGTCTTGTGTTAATGGATGTTTCCATGGGGAAAACAGGCTAGATTCATAACAGGATCTAATAGATGCATGGAATTTATTTCTGTTTCTTTAACAATGCTCATATGGTTTCCATATTTGGAACAAACAAAAACCACATAAGGAAAAGGTTGTCCTTATTTAATTCAGAGTTACAAAGACTGCAAATCCGATCAGCTAATATTTGTGAGCTAGAAGTTTATGCTTTAATATATAAAGATGTCTATACACAGTAACAACAGTGATGATACCCTTAATATTACTCATGAGAAATTAAGTACACATCTATGAATGAAGGTTGGGGGGGTTTCTAATTTTTCCTTGCTGGTTGTTCTCTACTTTCCTCACATAAAAGCAGCATCACACATACATGCAGTAGTCATGAATGACTTTTTTAAGTATTATTACATCCCATTACTATTTTCTAACAGCTTAAGAGTAGTTGTTTACTTAGATGGTAGTTAGGAAGCTCTCTTCTTCTAATCAGAATCATCTAGGTCGGATAAGACCTTTAAGATTTTCAAGGCCAATTGTTATCCCAGGACTGACAAGTCCATCACTAAACCATGTACCTAAATGCCACATCTACACCTCTTTTAAATAACCCAGTGCCTGAACAAACTTCAAATTGTCTCTTCATACATTCCTTAGACTACTGAGCAATTTATCCTTTGGGAGGCATGTCATAACTACTGCTGTGCTGTTGCCTATTATCTTTTGACAATAAGCACATGGGTCCCCCAAGCATAAGCCCAGCAAAACTGTGTGCTCTGAAGTGAAGCAATAGATGTATTTTTTACCTGGTTGCATGGTTTACAAGAGACTGAGACTGTCAGTTTGGATTCAGGCTTGTTTTCTTCCTCTGATAGTCAGCAGCCAGGTGAGCTTAAGCCCATACAGATCTACACAATTTTCTGATCGGAATGAATTAATCAAATGTTTCATTAATGAACCAACACAGTCAAAAGAGACACATTTCCCTCTCTGTAATGTGTGTGACATTTGCAAGGAACAACGTGCAGATTTCAAAATAAATCTTCAGACAGAAATACTGATAATCACTAAAGAAAGAAAACGTAGAAAAATAAGTTGTTTCATCCACCTGTGCTTCCAGACTCAGAAGAGCTGGACAATTCTCTAGGATTTACAACTGGACAGAGGTCAGGACTTCTAGGGTTTTTCAGCTCTGGTCCTGTTTTGGCAAAAGTACCAAGTTCACACAGTTTTGATGAGCAGAGGGACCCTCCATCATCATCATCTTCATCTCCTGACTGTGCAAAGGTCACCCTTAACTGCAGCCTGACCTATTCTGTGAAGATACTCTTTGTCTCAGAATACACATCTCTATGCACAGGAGGGACCAGAGATGGACTTCCTTTACAGCTACTTGTAAACCTAATTTTTTGGTGATAAACACTGAAAAACCCTGCAACAAACCTACCCACACACTGCTGTCTTCTTACACTTGTAGGTGAGTCACCTCCTGGATTTCTGCACCTGCTTTCCTCACCCCTCCTGTCCCTCTAACGTGGGATGCTGCCCTCCTTATTTCTTGTTTCTATTTCCTTCTCAGAATCACTGCTTCCACCCCAATTTCCCCTCTTTGTGATTCATGAAGTGTACGTACCAGCTTTCAAACCACAAGCTTTCAGCTTGAATGAAAAGTTGATGCGCTGCACCGATCACAACAGTGCGTGTGGTTGTCACCATTTTTATAACACAAGTGACATGTTTTAAATCTCAGGAAAAGTTTCATTTTCATACTTTACGATACCAATTAATGTCTAAAATGACAGGGAGTTAGAAAGCCCAGGGGGATTGAAAGACGTATTTTGTGTACAAATGACAGTTGAACTATGGTCGCTCAATATTTTTAGTTACACTGTCATCTCATTTTTCATCTTGCAATGAATATCAGAGGAGAAACAAATGGTAAACACCACTTTGGCAAACTGTTCAACAATAAGTCCAGTACATGGAAGTAACTTTGCTAAAATGAAATTACTAGGACATACAGAACTGTACTGAACCAGCACCCAACCCCATTATATTCTTCTCTGAGGCCAACGACCAGCATGTGCAAGTTAAGAACTATGAAGTCAGGGCTCTGATCCGTACGTGGAATTTAGGGGTGTCTCATTTCTTGAAAAAGATCTGTGAGTTTTGAGAAGAGCTGAAGCCCAAACAAAAAGGTTTTCTATGAACTTTTAAATTAAAAAAAAAATTTACTTCCTCTAAATAAAGTTAATGGAAATATTAAAAAAATATTTCCAAGTCAATAGACCAGAGCAAAAAAGTTTGAAAACTGAGTGGAAGAGGAGAAAGGGAAGGCAAATAACTGCAGGGAAATGCTTTGATTTTGTTTGATTCAACCCTTCAAAATATATTTTCCCTGTTCTTAGATTTGAAAAAATCTGGATTTTCCTAATACCTTAAACACTCAACTGACAGCAACGCATTCTGACAGAATTTGAACGTAGGTCTCAGGCAATTGTGCTTTCAAATGCTTTGATGAAAAACTCCACAGGAGTATTTATATATTAATACAGGACCTCTGAGAATTTTCATTACAAATAAATATTGCCCAGGAAGATTAACTGCAGGGAGGCTGGGAATCAGATGGAAGTCTTGTCTGTGCAGGGAAGCTATAATGCAAACCATGCCAGAGGAGAGATTCCCTTCTCTGGCAGCTCTCAAGCAAAAAGGATCTGACACGTTTCACCTTCACAGATCTAACTGAAGACAACCCAGGAAAAAGAGGTTTCAAGATTTTCAGAGCTGTTCAGTGACCACATGAAAAATCCCTGCCTGCAGTGGAGACAATTTGAAAATATCTGAAATATTTCAAAATAGGGAAAACCCCAGATCTGGGGGGGTGGGGGGTGGGGGGGGGGTGGCATTTGGCATCTGGCTGACGCCAGCTTGTTCTTTTAAAGCACTCTTGAAATCCACCTGGTAGAGGTTGAAAAAGGTGTCAGCCTCTAGTCTGGCTGGGTAGGTTACAGCTCCCAGCCTTGGGAAAGTAAAACATGTAAAATCTTGAGAGCTTCCAAAGCACAGAGAGGGCCCTCAAAATGTTCTGTTCATGTCTTGATTAACGTATATTTTTAGGATAGCCTAAGGAAACCTATAGAAATCCAGTTCTGCTATGGAAGGGGTATCATCCACTTAAAAATGTTGTTTGAAGGACAGACTTGTCACAGACAGCATACCAATTCCCCACCACACAGACCCTCTGTATTTCACCAGGAGGCTTCAGAAGCATGTCTCTGCCAAAAAATACAAGTAACAATAGTTTGCCTCCCGTGAGATAACAACTAACTTTGAAGACGATATTGACCTGTTCCAAGGTATTTTATCATGCAGTGCATGTGTTTGTACTGTCCCAAGCCACTATCCTGCAAATGCTAAATGCTTAAGACTTCACATGCAGCAGCAGCGATTTAGAGCTCTTGTTTAACGGACATACAGAAGCACTAGATAGATGATTGAAGCTTCAAGCTCTAAGCAACTAAATAACAACCTACCATCTCCATGCTGCTGGCTGGAGTCAGGAAGAAATGCCTTAAATTCAGAAAGTAACCCTCTAGTTGTCCAATTAACAGAAGCAGGATAACTCCATCTGTAAACTAGATGAAAAATGACCTTAATATTATTTATTATGTTGGCTTTTAGTTAGTTACTCCGATAAATGCCATTTTAGAAATAAAGGAATTTAAATGGTACTCTGGCAAGCAGACAGCCTAATGACTCAGCTCCTTCAACCTCTTCTATAGTGAACGTCGCATTTAGTTACATAAGGCTCCCAAGTTCATGTTAGTGAAAATAAGACCTTGTAAAAACACAGCTATTAAAACAAACTATTCCAGATGTGAAGAGACTACAGACAACCACAAGCAACAAATGTGGAAGTATAAATAAAAGAAAATTGTGCCTACTGCCTGAGATTTCACAGAATCACAAAATCATTAGGGTTGGAAGGGGCCTCTGGAGATCATCTGGTTCAGCCACCTGCCAAGGCACAGCCACCTAGAGCAGGTTGCACAGGAACGTGTCGAGGTGCGTTTTAAATGTCTCCAGAGAGGGAAACTCCACAACCCTCTGGGCAGCCTGTAAGTGTTTGTTATGACAAAACACTTGTGAAACTTCCTTTCTCACAGTTAACCACCAGGAAAACCCAGAAGAGCATGAGAGCACAGATCCACTTCTCATCCACGTGGCATAAATGGCAGGAACTGCACGTGCACCAAGGTTTTCAATGCTTGGAGTAAAGCAAGATCACTGAGCTGATTTCTGCATGCGCGTCTGCAGAAGTAGAGAATGAAAAAGCCACGAGGGACACCCCTAAGCTCATCTCCCATGGCTCACTCGCCCCCTGGAGAGGTGCAGGGAGGATGCTGCAACTCCCTGGCTCTGCATGAGCTGTTGTCCACCCACCCTGGAAGCAGCAGCAGTGGAGGAGGACAGCAGAGGTGCAGTTGTGCCCCTCTTCATCAGCACCCAGGGCAGTTATCCCAAGTCAGAGGATGGGACTTTGTAATGCAGTGAAAATCAGGCCTTTCTACCGTGAAGCAGATCCAGCATTAAAAATCGCTAAGCACCAGCAATCAGCTTGGCTTTCATTTTAATTATCAGAACACCTTTATTTCCGTCCTGACAGAAAGAGTACTCACAGGAGTTGGGCAGACTCTGAAAATTACTCTCTATAGCATTACAAAGGCACCACTCAATACAAAGTTATATTTTTTCCATTACTCATTAGCTTTAGAAACTTCAGAGACTGAAGCCTGATATCTTAACCTGAAGCTAGAAATAATGGTTATGTGGCCATGTTTCAAATTACTACAGCAAAAGGAAGGAATCCTGATGGTGAGAGTAAACACTGACAGCTGACAAAACATGGTGAACATGCAGCTTAGAGCAGGCTACCTGAGAGTTGATGTCTTTCACATTTAGTCCTAATTTTCCAACATGCTGGTTGACAAATTGCAATAATACCTAAAGAAAACAGAATGGGGAGAGAGGGTGGAAGAAAAGATAACTTCTTTTTCAGTGTTGAAAAAAAATTCTGTTTTACCTTACAAATTTTGGTGTCTATTAAAAAAGTAAATTACCTTTTTTACAGCATCCAATTTATCTGGAGCACGGCTAAACAATTCATCAAAGGCATCATCTTCTGTATCAAAACAACATTAATTGTCATTATTTGGAATAACTGTCAGATCAGAGATTTAAAGTGGCTCCAGAAGGTTCACACTTTATACGTCAAGGAGGAAGAGAGCCACAGGGAGATGGGGAAAATTCCTGCTTTTGTATCTCTCAGAGGACAGGGGGAGTGGCTTCCCTTCAGCCTGAGTACATCAGAGAACACAGTTTACTTCATTCACCTCTGTAATTTTTGCCTGCAGAGGTTCTCAAGACTTGTGCTGCCACCAGCCTGAGTAATGTCTAAATTCCACATCTCTACAGTTTACCTCTTTTCCTATGTGTTTTTTTTAAACCCCGAACCTCTGGGATAAACTACTGCAAGCTGAGTAGAACAGCTATACATTTTAACATAAACATCAGTTGTATCAAATTTGCAGCAAACCAGCCCCCTTCCTTCAAAAAACTACAAACTTGATATTGAGTTTGGAGACACTGCCCTTACTCTGCAAATTCACAGATCTCAAAAATAACTAGTGTTGCCATCCAGTTTAAAAGAGGGCACTAAACCAGTGTCAGCAGTGCTGCGACAGAGAACTAGCATGAGTTTAAAGATTTCCAAGGAAATGGGATTCATTGAAATCCTTGTGCATGCCCACCCTCACCTCCATTTTCTGCCCAGGTTTAGCAAGAACAGGACACATCTCTTTACTGTAACCTGGCCACAAGACTACTTTGCTTCAAGCATGAATAACGTATCCAAAACATCCTTAAAAATCAAGGGCACTCTGGAAGCATAACTAAATGGAGAACTAGTTTCAACAGTACAGGAAAGTGAAGGCAGCTTTGCTTAAGGAAGATTCCTCCCAGAAGCCAGCAACAGAGAAGACTGCTGCAAAAAGGTTTCATCTGGTTTCTCCATTCTCCCTGGGGATGCTGCAGGAGCAACGTTAGGGAATAGGTGAATCCATCAAACAAATCACTGAGCAACAGTCTGAAACCTCCAACAGTCTTGCAAACTAGAGAGCCCTCTTCTGGAGCCACGCTTTGGGATTTCTCTCTGTTAAGCAAGCTGTGTCAAAAACGGAGAGAGGGAGCATTTTGAAGAGTGAATTTCAGATTTCTCTTGGCAGCAGAATCAGCCCACTGGAAGAAACACCTAATTACAGAGGGGTTGTTTTTTTTACAATTACAGCCCACATTAGAGACCGCTCAGTGGAATAAATGATAAATAAGTACTAAATGAGAGAGTCTGCACCTCTACAAAAGATGAAAATGCTAACATAAAGGGCACAGAAGAGAATTAAAACAGTTGCCTTGATTCACTGCAGATGAAACATGCTTCTTTGCAGCAAGGAAGGGTAGCTCACACTGAAGCCTGAAGCAGTGCCCCAACCTTCAGCTGGCTCTGCCCAGATGGACATTTTTCACCTCAAGTGTTTCACAGCCCTCAAAAGCCCCGAGGGTAAAAACTCTGGGGATGTTGGCTTTACTGAGCTGCCATCCATAGTCGAGTACCAGCAGACTTCAGAATTTCATTTGCAAACTACAGAAAGGAAACTACATTGAAAGTGGTAGCAACAAGACACACAATTCTCAAGACATTGTGCTCATAAATAGTTTCAACAGTGAATGAGGTCAATGTGTAAATCCAAGACATACTTTGCCCCCCAGCCAGGTCTTCTCTGTTGGGTCATCAACCGACTGTTTCATTTCTTGTCTTACCTCCCATCTGTTGTCTGTAATCCTGGGCAAAGTGACCACCCAACTTCTAAACTATGTTACGTTGATATGAACAGACATTATCAGAAGACATTTGGAAAAAAAACACTAGGAGAAATCCATGAATCTCTATTAACTGTAGTGGCAGCAATGCTGATTTTATCTGAGAAATGATCATAATGTGGTATAGAATAGCACATAACAGTAAAACACTGAATCTGGCAATGCCCATACTTACTTGGCTGTGCTTCTAAATTCTCTCTAAAAGTGCAATAAAAAGCAAGAATTAGAAAAAGCATTCAGCAGAACGAATCTTTTTCACAAGCAAAGCTTATCTGGGCCATCAGCTATCTTGTAAAGCAGGAGATACAGTACAAAGTGTCTTTAGCTTTATGTCAGAGTAACTTTCTAACATTTTTAAGTATACTGTATAACTGTGCAGACTCTTGGAAGTATTTTAACTGGCCCACAGACCAATGAACACTTATTTTATAAGCCAAACCCATAATATTCTCTTCCACTATGCTGCTCATGGTAGTAGAATTTGAAGATGTTCTACCATATAAAAGATAGTAGGCAAATCCATTTCTAGCTCTTGAAATTAAATCCATACTTTCTCAACATATAAATAGGATACTGCTACTTGACTCCTTTAATAATGACAGTACCTTTCAAACTCAGCAAGCTCAGACTTTTCTTTCACAGTAAAATAAGAACAGAACTGCGCCCTTTATTTTTATTTAATGACACCATAGCAACAAAATAAAAGTAGATTTAAACCACTGTGGCTTTAGAAAATTTCCAGTTTAGTCTGAGACAGGTAATTTTACAGTACTGGATTTTTATTATTATATTTGTTATTATATTCCATGGTTATGACAAACACTAAGCCTCAGAAATGATCATACACATTATTTTACGTAATTTTATATAAGGAGTAAAGAAGGGCATTATACCATAACACCAAATCTGAAGAGAAAAAAAAAAAAAAGGAAAGAAAGCAGAGAAACAGTTTACATACATATGCACACCTGGGTTTATGCTTTTTGTCATCATCATGATCCCCAGCTATTTTTTATATGGGGGTAAAAAAAAACCCACAGTATTTCCTTTCTGACTGACAATGTAAAAACCAGATATATCCCCTCTTACTTGTTTTCTGTGATATATTCCACTGCATTTGCTGTCTTTAATCCTCTGGAGGTGTTCTGTTGAAAGGACAAGAAATACTTCTGGTTTGTTACACAAAAAAGCCCCACCCTGTAACCATTAATGAGGCTTTCATGACCTGTTTGCTGCCTTAAATGGTTACCAGAGGGCATTTATCCAAGAAGTCCAGTATAATTTCTACAGGCAATTCGAGAGGTTGCTGTTCTCTTCTGCTCTCTTTACTCTTCAAACATAAGTTACTTACTTCCCCCTAAGAGGAAGCCAAAGGAGATGTACATGGTCCCTCAGCTGGTGAAGTTCAGAGGCTGGCATGCTTGCCTGGAGTCTTGATTATACTACATTATATAAAGGAAATTGCTGCCTGCACAAAGCAGCTTGATGCATTTCTCAGTTTTGCAGGACAGGAGGTGGCCATCTCTGCTTTATAATAACCTCATACCATAGCCTGCAACCCATCGATGAATCCCCCTGCAGAGGTTTAGTGGGTTGCTTAGATTTAGGATGGCAATTCTTGCCGTTTCTGAAGCCATATGGGATATCTGCTTATGTTCTTGCTTTTTTTTTTTTTTAACTGTATATAGTTCTTAGTACTCCACATAGTATCAAAAGAACATCTTCAATCCAGCTGTCAGTCTAAAGAGACAAGAGAGGATGGGCAAGCACACCACTTTATTCAGTCACCTGGCACACATCTCATCACAGAAAAGTTCTTGGTTTTCACTGCTTTCTCAGGCAGTGAAAAACATTCTCTGTTTACATGCTGAGCCAACTCCTTTGTGTCAACTCATCGCTGAAGAAGAGGCACCCAGCCCCACCAGAGCAAGACAGGTCCTTCCTGCAGGCACGTGCTGCAGAAAGGCCAAGCCTTCTCTGGTCCACCTTGGGTTTTCTCAACATTTCGGCCTTCCTGCCTTTGTCCCCTCTTCTGAGTTGTGCCTTTAGGAGCTTTCCTCATTTTTGACCTAATAACTACCTTTCCCGTCGAAGGCAGTGATTTCTCCTTACGGGGGATCAGCTCACCACCACAACCCTCTTATTTCCATTGCCCCTTCTCTGTTTCAGGGTGAACAGCCCTTTTCAATGCTGCAGTTTCACACCAGCATCTGCTGAGGCACTCTCAGGCCCATAAGGCATTAGATGGAAAGTTGGGTTGTCACTGATCAGACCCACACGACAGGAGCGTGGGGAGCTCCAAATTCACTATTTGGAGTCCCATTAGATATCAGAGAGACCACTTCTCTGCTGAAATGCTCAGCTGGGTTGGGGCCACAACAGCTACCTTTGCAGAACCAAGGCCTAGAAGAAGCTGTCCCTCCAGCCTACATTTAAACCTCCTGAAGTGACACAGGTAACTCAAAGGCATGCTTCATTTCAGTTCCAGTTATGATCAGCTCCAAAGAGGGGAGAGTGCTAGGTCATGCCATACAGGCCATGCACTTGTCTCCCAACACCAATGATTTGCAAACCCTCTGTTAAAATAGTAACACATTTTTGCAATTATATCCCAAATTGAGGAATATCTGATGTTCTCCTAAAGCCCCAGAGCTGACTTTAAGAAACTAAATAGAGGAAGAAAGCATGTAGATCTCAGCTTGTAGAGAAAAATACCAAAATGTGATCCCAATTGAAGGGGAGTAAACACTTCCTTCCCCTAAAGAAGTAAGCCTTATACCATGCTTATAAGCATTATACCAGTGTCATGACTTACAAGTGCAGGCTTCTATTTTAAAACACTTAGAGATACTAACAGCAGAATTTCTTATTTTTCCTTTTTTTTTTTACAGAGATCAACAGCTGTTTTCTGTATGGATCATTCCTTTAATCAAGGAGAAAAACCAGCATAGTATTTCTAACCTTTTAAAGAGACAGCCTTTGAACTGAGAACATTATAGTTTAGACCAACAAACTGAAATTAAAAGGCACAGTTCACAGAATACAAATATCTTTTTCACAGCTGCACACACATTTCTCCCTAATTCTAAGCAAATTAGTCTTGCCAGAAGGTCTGTAGGATCTACTGTAACAAATATTGACACTATAATTACCTCAATGGTGATTGTTTCCACTTGAACATTTGGAGGCATGGCCAGGTTGGGTTCGAAGTGCTTTGCTATTGCAACCAGAAGATGCAGTGTGCTCACTAAGTCCTTTGTCAAGATAGCTATTCCATGTAAAGAAAGAAAACAATGGTTAGTGTGCAAACCAAGTAATATAATAAATTCACTTTAATGTCATAAATTCTCCCTGTGCAGAGGATCCCAAAGTCAGAGAGGGCTATAACATCAGACTGCAGTTTCTGTAATACCACAATTCAGCAATACCACACCTTAAAAGTCTTTTTTGTGAGACGTACACTCAAATGATGAGGAGCATGAAATGGTCCACAAGCCACATACTTAAGAGGATGTGGCTTGCATGATGCAGTCAGGGTCAGTTAGTCCTGTCTCACTTTTGATTCAACTAGTAATTGAAAACAGGTTATTTAATCAGTGTTCTGGCACCCCTTTGCCTCATAGCAGCCATACAGTAGAGGAAGCCCTGTTGTGGATGATTTTCTCCAATTTCACTTCTGCACCTACATTCCACACTCCATTTCAGCTGACTTGTTTCCAGTTGCAAACACTTAGCCACAGCTTCCAGAATCACAGAGAGTTTCTGTCGCTGCTTTTTTTCTGTTAATGCAATCTTGTCAACATCCAGCTTGAGAGATCCTAGGTTTTCTTTGACAGAGTCCAAAGGAAGAAGAAGGATGTATTTCAACACCACCATAAGGAAAAGAAAAAAAAGGAAACATAAAATGACAGCAAAGCACACAAATTCTCATTTTAAGTTTTCACTGCCACCTAATAGCTTCCACCACAGACCCACATCCTGTGCTTTCTGAAAGCCTTAATAAAATCAGTGAAACTCTGAAAAAGGGAGAGAACTCAAGTTATTACTTGCCCTCATCTTAGCACTCCACATTCCTCCTTTTCCTAGTAGAAGCTACAGAAATCCAGTGAGTGCATCTTTCCTGTAAATGGTGTACACAGGCAACATCAACTCACATATATAGAAAATACCCCAACTTGTTGCTCAGGCAAGTAAACCATGAAAATAAGCCAATTGTGCTCATGCTGTTGCCCTCAGCTTTAGTGAAAAAGAGATATGATTTGAAAGATATCCCCAAAAAAAAGTGAAAGGGGAAGAATAATTAAGCAGGAGCAAGGGATATGGAGAAACAGAAATAGAACAACAGGCTGCTCCAAGGTCCCCTTTTTATACAAGCACTTCATACTGTAGAGAGCCTATTAGATTTCCATCTGTTCCCATTCCAACCCACTGCTTTAGACCTATTTTTTCCTTTTAGAAACAAAGAAGGAAAACATATAGTGCTGATTCGATCCAATGCTTCTGGTAGTATCAGAAATCACCTTTGAGCTCCTGGTTTATGAAGCCCTCCTTCCCTTTAGAAGCACTGTAATTTCACACTTCAAAGTTAACTTTTCTATCATGTTAACTAGCAGGTAAGTCTTTCTTAGAAGAAAAATAATTACATAAAACCAATAGTGGATCATCAGGCATTTGTTCAGAATTGCAATTATCAGAGATGGCTCCCAGTGTAGTGCTTTCTCCATTAGTGAGAAGTAAGACTCCAGCAGACTGCAATTTGTGAGGTTCATTCTCTGATCTAGAAGTAACTCCATGATGTGTTTGAGAACAGCAGCTTACCCAAGAGATGATGAAGTACCAGCCCGTCATACAGATCTTCTTCTAGGCTTTTAACTACTATGTGTTCCTCTTTCAGAGTTGTGTTAATCCAGTCAATCAATAACTGTGAAGGAAAACAAAGTAGCTGGCAATTATATTCTTGTTGTTTAGAGAGTACAGCACTCAGTGATATATTGTGTTTCACCTTTCTCATTAGTCCTTTATCTTACACCTTGGTCTGATTTCAACCTCCACTTCCTTTGTGCTTTTTGGTTGTTCTTTTAAAGGGAAACAAAGTATCAGTTAGTTCTCCCTAATTTTCAAGTGAAATAGACATCTCACAAATTACATTCCTATGAATTTTGTAGAAATAGTTATACAGGTGGAGAGACAGATCCTACTCCTGCTTCCCTCAGGAAAGAGGCTGCAGAGTACTTTTCCCAACCCCTGCCTTCATCAGACGTCACAGAATTCACACAAATTCAACAGTCAAACAAAAGTTTGTAAGACAACTGGCTTCACTTATTCTCTTCATTGTTTCTTGCAATCATCTATGTTACTAGCACTCCTTTCTTCCCTCTCCTATTTTTTTTTTCTTCCTTCAATTTTGTCCTAATCTGTCTCCAAATACTTTTTCGGGGGGGGGGGAAAGCATTTTGTTTACTTCACTTTCTTATGTGGCAGTCTTCCTATCACTCTTTTCAATATCCTTCCTGCCTTCGCAAGGGGAAGCTGCTTGGGAAGCCAAGGACTATCTACAGCTGGAAAGGAATCACCTTCCCAGTTACGTCCCTTGCCTCTGCAGCCCCTTCCTTTTGCTCTGTGGTCCTACATGGGAGATTAAGGGAGCTCCTCTGCACTTCCCCAAGCACGTGTTTTATCCATGTGTCAATAGAAATGGAAGGTGACCTGCTGAAGCAAAACTGAAAAGCAATAGCCACAGCCAGCTGTTAACAAGAACCTTCCAGAAAAGGGTGGGTATTGCTTGTATTTCTATTATTGCTACAAGTCAGTGTCTGGGGTTTGTTGTGTGGGTAATACCCTTCTCACTCCCTGTAAACAGAGGTGAAAATTCACAGCAGATCCCTGTAATTTAGCCAACATTAACAAAAATGTAAAAAGCAGGTTGGAAATATAAAATACCTCTGAGAAGCTTGAAATCATACAAGAAACAAACAAGGCCTGGCATGGCACTTGCCTGAACTGAGAAGCTGTCAAAGTGTTTGGAATATACTTTCTCAGCTGAGAAGCAACAAGAATTTTGTAGAGCAGAAGGCCGTGCTTCTCAACTAACGCTGATTAACAGGTTAAGACCTATTGACACTTTAGATGTGTAATTGATAGAGGGGTACCACAGGTGTAATGGCACAACCAGATGGAAGTTGGAAAAGCAGAAAGCACTGCTGAGTATATACCTCTGAGATCACTCGTTTACTGTCTTGGCTTTAAACAGCCACATCCACAGCCTGCAGCTCACACAACTTGGCTTTCAGTTCAGTTGTTGAGGCCCCACTCAGCTGCAGAGCAGAGTGTTGTGTCTAAAGAAGTTTCCTACTGGCCTTCGAATGCAACTATCTTCTATTTTAGGGACAGTTTGATACTTACAGTAACTACAGCAATCCATTTCACATTCCTTAATTCCCCAAAGCCACCTCAAAACAAAAATGCAGTGGAACAGCGTCTTCCTCTCAAGCAAGTTTCTTTGCTTCCTTTACTCTTCCCTTGAAGACACATCTCTGTCCTCTCCCATCCCAATCTCTTCTCTGAATGAGCCATGAACTCTTTATATTAAGAAGGCAACCAGTGGCACCAACTGGACATCCAGAGGACTTCACTCCTTGGGCCCCAATTTCCACCTCCTCCTCATCCAAAGAAAAAAAATGAGACAGTGAAGAACACTGTTTCAGGAGTCTCTGACAGGAAATGGATTAAGCACTGAAGCTCACAGAAATCTTCATAAACTGAGGAAAGCTCTTCATTTTTGGCAGATACAAATTTAGTATCTCTGTAGACAACATAATTGCTTTTTGCAGCACCTCCTTTCAGATTTTGTCTTTTGTATAAAAACATTGTGAAAGGCTGACACAAAAATCAAATCTTTTTCATCAAATGTGCACAAAGGTTTAAGAAAACATAATCAAGAAATGCACATATTTATGGATTTATGAATGCCACAATATACACACACCAGCAAATAGCCTAAGCTGGTTTGTATTGTATTTATAACAATTCTAATATCTCCATAATACAAGAAGTGCTGGTTTCATAAGAGTCATGCCACTTTTCTTCCAGGAAATATCAGTATGCTAGCCTTCCCCTGGGCTGTACCATTAGAGAAACACGGTGATTGAATACACAGGGGAGATTTTCAAAATAAAATGCTTTCCTGTGAAATAGGATTCATTTTTCACAGTTACCTCAAGCAGACAACACACTGTACAACAACTTGAAAGCTTTTCTCCTGAATTCTTGATGACTTGAACATCCGTCATCCCTTTTCCCTCTGCTCTATGCTACCCTTGTTACGCAGCATCGCAGCCGAGCCAGCTGCCACTGGAGGTAGAAGACAAGACAGAAGACTAATGCAAATCAGCACAGCAATCCTAAAACTTGTTATCATGGGATCAGGGTAGCAAACTTGCATGTATCTACACATCTCTTTACTCACAGTAAATGCTGATATAGGGCTGCTTTCAGTCACAGTTCCAGCTGGATTCTTATTGCTATTACACTATAATTACAATAAAGTATCAACTGGGTACTTCCAGTGTGGCTGACATCCCAAGTTAGGAGAGGTATCATATAAAACTCAGGTTTTAAATCTACGCTCCACTTTACATATAGCAGTGACCACTCTTGGGTGATGCAGGCATTTGTAGCTTGGTTCTGTATGGCCTCAGCCATCCTGGCATTGCGCTTAAGCTGAAGCTTTGGTTTACTTGTGTGGAGCCCAAGTGCCAAAATGTGTAAATGTGCAGATGTGTAATTTACAGGGTTTAGCATTAACATGACAGGTTAGAACAACTTAAGGTGAGTGTTAAGTAATATAGTAAAAGAAATGGTACCAGTTTTAATTCTTCCAGTTTGGGATTGTTGCTTGAGGATGGTTTTATGAATTTCTTCTTCTCCCCTATGAAAGGAAGCAAACAAGACCCATTACAATTTTCAAGTATGACTAATGTGAGTTTGCTGTAAAATCAGCTATCAGTATTACCCAGTATTGCTATTTGCCATATGTAGCAACACTGACATTTTTTATTTTAACTTATGAATGAGAAAACGGTATATGTTGGAAAATTATGCTGCAATGTAATTCAAATAAGTAAGTTCTACGCAGATCTTACTAAATTCTGGAAAGAGGAAAACAAACTTGGTCAGCTCTTTATATGTGAAATTTAAATTTCAGCTAAAAAAACAGCTAGAATTTGTGTTGCTCCTTCAAGATCTGCCTCTAGAGAATCAGCAAGCCAAAGAACACACACAAATCTTACTGATTATAAAACCATGGGACCACTGCTGAAAAATACACAGTTCATTTGTACTGCACATTTTCTGCTTGGTTCTTCAGGTCATTCTTTGAATGTTTTCCTGTCCTAGTTCATAAAGTACGTACCTTGAGCAATGATGTTCTCAGCTAGGAACTGATCAACTGCAGCAGGCTGTGTAAACGCATTTAAGAAGTCTGGATCCATTGTTTTTTCTCACTCACGGTAAACTGGTAAAAATTATGGGGAAAAGGAACATAAATAAAGGCATGTAAAGATCAAAATTGGTGCTAAGAATAAAATAAACTGAAGGGTTTTTTTGTTACTATTTCATCACTGGTGGATTGCTTTAAAAGTCTGAAAATGTATTGAAATGTATGTAAAGAAAAAAAGAAGTTAAAAAGACTTTTTCCTGTTAATCATCAAAAAGTCTCAAAAGTCCTAAAACTTGCCCTAATTCTAATTCTGTTTCATCTGAATTAGACTAGCAAAATCCTGTTTCAACTGAAATTAAAAAGCTTTCACTTCCAAGGTATCAATGGATATCTGCAATTAAAATAACCAATACTTAAGAAATATTAAGTGAAGAATACAGTAGATAAATTACTGAGACAAGCTTATAAACATAAGCAGTTCCCTTCATTAGACCATCTGGTAGAGCTGTGGGGAAATACGGCATGTTTCTGGATAGACAACCCCATCTTTTTGTTAGGTGAAGTTGCATGGCTTCTTGAAGATTATTTTAGTTTAAACACAGACTGCAGAATGACTTTCCTTCCCAACCCAAATGTCCTCAAATGAAAGCAGACTGGCAATACACAATACAACAGTGAAAATACCTTATCAACAACTCCAAAACTATGGGTGAAGTTTTCCAACCCAGCTAGCAGTTGTGTTGGAGGACAGCAGAAGCCAGAGAAAGGAAAGAGGCCACTGTAGGAGAGGGAAGGCTGACTCCTCTTGTTCTTTTTTAACAGAATGTAAGATGCTCCTTGTTAGAGATTCATGTGGGAGAGGACTCCTACTGTCTACCCAAGATGCCCATATCAGCAGCCCTGCCTCTCAAGGCTCACTGACTTGCATTTTTCAGTCAGAATATTGGTAGAAAATAGCCATTGGATGCTTTTGCACATCAATTGGTAAAACAAATTAGGCACAAAATTCCCAGCAAGCCACCAGCAGAAAGGGTCACAAGAGAATTGGTTTCATTATGGTGGCTGCAAAACTGAAAGCTGTCTTTAAAAAGGTTTTTGGTAAAATTGAGGAGAATGAGTCATTTAGTGCCTAAGGAACAGCTGCACTACCTGAGATTAAACTACCCAAATGAAATTAACTGAAAGAGAAAAGTTAATTAATACAGAGCAACCTAAGGACAACTTACTTTGAAATAAAGTTTCTGACAGCTGTTGCACCTTAGGAAGTCCTCCTCATAAGTCTTCTGTAATTGTCTGCACATACCACTGCTTACACTAACTCAGCTTTGCTTTTACACTAACTTAACTTGTACATCTCTTACTTCCTTTGATCATTTACACATCTAAGTGATGCGTATTGCCTGCCACATCCTTGGTCTCTTTTTGGCTGAGGAACCCAAACATCAGAAGCCACTCTATAAATTAAAATTTGGAGGCCTGTAAGAAAAGACCTGAAATTAATAATTTGCAATAGCATAAGTTAATTTCCTCTAAGGCCTCAGACCTGTGTGTCCTACTCAGTCTAAGTGTTAAAATTGCTATACTGGGGGACCTTGTCTAGTACTGATAGCTTGTCTAGTATCCAGTCCCTTACAGCAGAAAATTAGGATGAAAAAAAACCCATGAAGAGAGCAAGTATATACAGGTACTTTCCTAAAACTCCTCAATAGCCTGTAGTCTAGCCTTCCTACATTAAAATTGGGATCCTAGTATTTAGAAGCTTCCAACATATTTATTTCCTATGAACTTCACCCTTTGAATATGTGTATCACCATTGAGCAGTAAGGAGCCAAAGATCATGACCTTACCTTGCATGAAGCACTACCACCTTGTTGCTTGCTCTAACATGCCACCTTCCAGCTTTCCCTGAAGGTCCCTACTATGCACAGTGCAAAGGACACCAACTGACTCACATTCTTCATGTCACTGTTACTACTTCAAGTTATATGTCTGCATGGAGGAGTAGATACATATGTCTACACCTTCAACAGTCACCTCTTTCCAAACCTGAGGAAGCAAAGCCTTCATCTTAGTTAACCTTCACAGGGAAACCAATCTGTAATACCTTTGATCTTCCTGCTTGCCCTCTCCTGAACTCTCTTCACTGCTATCACAGCCTTTGGTGAAGTGCTGGGAATCACACCTGCCCAGATTTAGAGAGGTGCACCACAGTATTCACAATGCTGTTCTCAGTTCCTCTCCTCCTAATTCATAGAATCATAGAATAGTTAGGGTTGGAAAGGACCTTAAGATCATCAAGTTCCAGCCCCCCTGCCATGGGCAGGGACACCTCACTCTAAACCATATTACCCAAGGCCTCGTCCAACCTGGCCTTGAACACTGCCAGGGATGGAGCATTCACAACTTCCCTGGGCAACCTATTCCAGTGCCTCACCACCCTAATGGGAAAGAATTTCCTCCTTATATCCAATCTGAACTTCCCCTGTTTAAGATTTAACCCATTACCCCTTGTCCTATCACTACAGTCCCTAATGAAGAGTCTTCACATGGGAGGTGCTCCAGTCCCCTGGTCATTCTCGTGGCCCTCCTCTGGACTTGTTCCAACAGATCCATGTCCTTTTTATGTTGAGGACACCAGAACTGCACACAATACTCCAAGTGTGGTCTCATGAGAGGAGAATAAAGGGGCAGGATCACCTCCTTCAACCTGCTGGTCACACTCCTTTTGATGCAGCCCAGGATACGGTTGGCTTTCTGGGCTGCAAGCGCACACTGAAGCCGGCTCATGTTCATTTTCTCATTGACCAGCACCCCCAAGTCCTTCTCCGCAGGGCTGCTCTGAATCTCTTCTCTGCCCAACCTGTAGCTGTGCCTGGGATTGCTCCGACCCAGGTGTAGGACCTTGCACTTGGCATGGTTAAACTTCATGAGGTTGGCATCAGCCCACCTCACAAACGTGTCAAGGTCCCTCTGGATGGCATTCCTTCCCTCCAGCGTATCTATTTGCTTTTTTTATCACTGCCGAGCACAGAGCTGACACTTTAATGGAACTATCTATTATATCCCCAAGATCTTATTCCTAAAACAGCAACACACCGCTCAAAGCCCATCATTTACCTGTAGAGCTAGTATTGATACCCCCCCCATTTTACCTCACTGACATTTATCGACATTGATTTCCTACAGCCATTTCAGAGCCTGAGAACTGCAGTTCCTTAGCATTTAATAGACTCATTGCTTATTACTAATAATTAGCATTTGCAAGCAGCCCTTCATGTGGCAAGCTGCATGACTGCCAGGCTCGGTCCTAGACAGCAGCCTTTCAAAGAGTAATATGCAGAAGAGATCATTGTAGGAGACAACCACTTGAATACATTTTGTAGAAGCATTTCATGATGACATTTTTAAATAAAATTGGGGTTTAATTATTGATTATTCAAGTGAAATTAGATTTAGATTACACATTGGGAAATTTTTTTTCACAATCACGGTGGTGAGGCCCTGGCACAGGCTGCCCAGAAAAGCTGCAGCTGCCCCATCCCTGTCAGTGTTCAAGGCCAGGCTGGATGGGGCTTTGAGTAATCTGGTCAAGTAGAAGGTGTCCCTGCCCATGGCAGGGGGTTGGAAGTAGATGGTCTTCAAGCTTCTTCCAACCCAAACCAGTCTATGAATCTGTGAAATAGCATAATTTGGTCCTCATTATCTGAGAACATCATAGGTCTACAGGCTTGTCTATTTTAAAGTCAAGAGGTGTTTTATTTCTCCTGTACCACCTAAGAGAGCCAACAAGAGAATTTTTTTCAGATCAAGAGCTAGACTGTTGCACAATGGTGCAATGCCACAACTACAAAGGAAACAACCAATTCTTTAGCTGTGTCAGCTCAACTTCTACTATTTCACACATTCTGGCTCCCAGATATCCCTGATAAACAATATAAAGTATTAATAACGTACTAGTGGTCTCTGGTGTACAAACTAGCTGTAGAATATACACAAGGCACTTACCAGTGTCACCAAATCGTTTCAACTGTTTTATTTCCTGTTTGAAAAGACAAAAGCCCTACTCCATATTAGCTCAAACACACTTCCTACGAGTTTTCTAACTAGATCGCACAAAGGATGGAACAAAAACTAAGTGGGAATGTTAATAGTAATATCTGGAATATAGCAGTAAGAGTAATTTCTGCCTTCAGAAAACTATCATTAAAACAAGGGGGAAAAAAAAGGAGAATACATAAGTTTAAAACTTAACTCTTACTTCCCTGTTTAGTACCAGACCTTTCAAGAGCTCTTTTGGCTCCTTAGCATCAGAAGGGATGTCATCTTAGCAAGATACACAAAGCAAATACACGTGGACACAGAAAGTCTTACAGTTAAATATATATATATAAATTTAAAAAGAAGCTCCCCAAAGAGTCCATTTTCCCGAACTTACTATTCTCTCCTTCAGTAATTCCCAGGAACTCTTCTAAGATCTTGTCCCAGCAGGTGTGATGTAATTTATGGGAGAGGGGACTGCTTCCCAGGCTTGCAGTGTCCCAGACCAAAGGTGCAGGCTTCCATGCAGGGCAGTGTGACGTACACAGAGTACGCAAGAGGGAAGTTGTGCAGCCCGGTACTGACTGCTGCTAAAACGAAACCACGATTCTAACAGGAACTTAATTGTCTATGTGCTAGGTGCCTGCTGGAGGCTAAAATAAACAGAAATACAAATGCAGGAAACATGCAACTCTGCAACCCCTGAAATACCAGAAAGTATTAAAAAGATATGATCATTCTTCTATGGCGCTGTGTGGCATGACCGTTTGCTAGTCTGCATCTGGGGCGACTCACAGGGCGCTTTTCTTTGCATATAAAAATAGAACGCCAACAACAGCCAAAATCATGTGCTACAATACACCTTTTACTTGTGGTCCTTTGAGCCCTTTATAAAGAGGATCAGCATTACTCTACCTATCTGGTAGAAGGAGAAACCTAGGCAGAGGAAGATTAATTCATATGTCTCTAGAGAATTAGCCACACCAGGGCACAAAACTTTCATCTGAGACAAGAGTTATCTCCACTAGGCAGTGCTGCTGTTCTTCCTTCCCTTTTCC